GTGACCCCAGAGACACAGCGACTGTCACACTGACCCCCGGCCCAGTTCTGTCACACGAGATCGTGACCCCAGAGACAGGCGACTGTCACACTGACTCGCGGCCCAGATCTGTACTGGCTTCATCTTCCAGTAAAGCTGTTTAGTTTCCTATCCAGAGTCAGAGCAGTTATTGACGCACTGTAGTGAAACATGATGCGCTGGATGAGGCTTTTGCAGGCAGAAATGACTGTCCTAGGAGAGGCTGCTGTGGCAACTGTTCTAGTTTCCTTCTTGTTGGTACCTCTTCCCACCGTCACAGTTGTCCGAGCGGACAGTTGTTCCTTCTTGCCAAGTAATGGGCAGTTTCTGCCAGGTAGAAGCCCCCCCGGGTCGACTGGGGCAGTAGGACCTCATTTGTACCCAAGCTCCTGAGGCCCAGTCTGCTCACTGTTCCGCTCCTCTCTCCAGGGCAAGAACGCCTTCTTCAAGGACCTCACCTCCATCCAGCTGCTGCCCAGCGGAGACGTGGACCCCAGCCTGGTGTCGCTGAGGCAGGAGGTGAGAGCGCCCCCCGCTGGCAGGTGCGGGGAATGACTCTGTAGAGCCCCAGTGTGTTTTGCTGATGTCTCTCTCTTCCTCTTCCTTTTTCCCGTCTCCCTTCTCTCGCATCCCTCATTCCTGCTTATCTGCCCCTTCTCTCTCCTCTCCCTCATTCCTCCTGCTCCTCTCTCCTCTCCCTCATCCACCGGCTCCTCTCTCCTCTCCCTCATTCCTCCTGCTCCTCTCTCCTCTCCCTCATCCACCGGCTCCTCTCTCCTCTCCCTCATTCCTCCGGCTCCTCTCTTCTCTCCCTCATTCCTCCGGCTCCTCTCTCCTCTCCCTCATTCCACCTGCTCCTCTTTCCTCTCCCTCATTCCACCTGCTCCTCTTTCCTCTCCCTCATTCCTCCGGCTCCTCTCTCCTCTCCCTCATTCCTCCGGCTCCTCTCTCCTCTCCCTCATTCCTCACTTTTAGGTGAAGTGTGGAGTGGAGAATCAGGACTCCTCCTCAGTGCTGTTGTAGGTGCAGGGGGAGGTGTGGAGTGGAGTTACAGGACTCCTGTCTCTCTCAGTTTCTTTTGAAGGTGCTGAGTGGGTGGGTTCAGTCTCTTGGGGAGACGGGTGAGGAGTCTGCTCCCTCTTCTGTCCCTGGAGCTGAGCTGTGGCCCTCACTGGTCCTGGATCTGGGCCCCCTCCTGCAGGTGAACCCCGACATTCTGCGCCGACATCTGGTGTGTGAGCTGTACAGCCAGGGATTGGATCGACGGGCTGAGGAGGTACTGTCCCTGTGAGATCCGTGGCATGACCCAGAATGATCAGTTCCCAGTAACCCTGTTAATGCTTTGTCTCACTGAACTCCAGCAGTATTACAGCTCTTGAGGTCTTATACACTATATACACTATACATTCTTGAACAACATCATGAGAGGAGCATACTGTATCGGGTACTGCAAATCACCATCGCTGCTCCTCACAGCAGTGTACCAGCTACACTGTTCCCCTTTCTATAATCGTTCTCTCCAACACCCCACACTACTGTAC